CAGGTTTATTTATAATTGTTATGAAGTTGAACTGCTGAAACTTGTTCATGGAAACATTTTGACTTGTATAAATGCTTCACATCCCTGCATTTATATTAAAATCATACACAAATGAAAATGGAAAAACCGCCGATACCTAATTTCTGTCCCCTATTTTTCCACTCACAATCATATACTTAGGTACCTTTTGACCCCATGGGAAAAAAAAAACCAAAAATCAAAAACAACAAAAAAAAGAAAAAAAAAAATTTTTTTTTTTTTTTGAGAATGAAATGTTTTCCCATCACAGTGGATTCTTAAGCACGTTCTCTAGGTATGTAGCCTGCTAGCTGGATGTCTTTCGGCATAATTATTACACATTTGGCATGGAGAGCACACAGATTGGTGTGTTCAAAAAGGCCAACCAGACAGGTCTCACTTGCCTCCTGCAAAGCACCAATAACTGCGCTCTGGAAGCGCAGATCTGTTTTGACGCCCTGAGCAATTGCTCCCACCAGATGCTGGAAAGGAAGTTTGTCAATCAGAAGTTCAGTGGACTTCCCATAACGTCTGTTTTTACGGAGTGCCAGGGTACCAGCCTGCAGCGATGACGTTTCTTCACCCATCCAGTGGAGGGCGCACTCTGGCGAGCGGCTTTTGTAGCCACTTGCTTCCTGGGTGCTTTACCGCCCGTGGATTTGCGGGCAGTCCGCTTTGTGTGAGCCACGGTACAAAGACCTTACTTATCCGCTTCTCTGGCTGGAGTCCGCGAGCTAGAGGCGGCGCTGGTGTTTGAGAGCCACCAGGGCTCGGCTGCGAACCTGGGAGGACTGTTTTGATGCCAAAGCTTGGCCTTTTTTTTTTTTCTTTTAACCTTCTTTGATTTTCAAGGGTAGTTTTCCCATGGGCAATTTTTGGCATCATCATTTCAGTATAATTCCCATGGAAAAAGTTGTTAAGTATTTTGCTTAAAGTGGACTTATCATGAGAGGGCACATATATATTGCTATAAAACTTACAAATATAACTTATTTTCTCATTCTAAATAAATATTCACGTTCGTGTCTAATTTGGCATTTGTAATTTTGTATTCTTATTCTTGAAGAGTCACTTCAAATCTTCAGACCCATCAAAACCTGGATTTGCTCCTGATTTTAGATCTAGTAGTTTGTGAATTTCGGGGGAAACAGTACCCTAATTTTCTGACGGTTACCTTCATGATAGAGTTGCCTGGTTTAGCAAATAAAAACACAGGTTTAGCAAATAAAAATACATACAGCCAGTTACACTTGAACTTCAGATAGACAACAAACAATTTTTTAGTATAATTTGTCCCAAATATTGCATGGCAAACCCTGTGTCAGTGGGAACGGCCACGGTTGAAAGGGTAGCATGGTAGTAGACATTGGGCTATCTCCCCAAATTGGCTGTGGCAGGTAAATATTAATCAGACCTGTTGATAAACTATAGAACTTTGTCCCTTATCTTCTGCCTCTCTATAGTTTTGTTTTAAACTGAGTCTAGTTTATGGCTGAATCTGATAACCCAGAAAGGGAGGAGCTGGGTGTCAGCAAAGTAGAGTCGCTGAGTCTCAAAAAGTAGTTTTGGAAGGCGTCCCTGGAGAGTCTCCAACTCTGTTGTTTTACAAGTGAGAAGACAAAGGCTTAGGGGCTAGAAAATAGATCAGTATGAAGCCAATAGATTAAGTATCTTGATGCATAAAAATAATAAATGATAATACGTAACAATGATAAAGTATTGGGCTTTCATTCCCTCTGTTAACTCTCAAAACAACAGTGTGAGATAATGCTTGTTATAATAATTCCCCTTTAGCAGACAAGCACACCGGAGGCTCAGAAAGGTTAAGGAACCAGTCTGAGGCCACACAGCAAGGAGGTGGTAGAAACGACGTTTCAGTCTGACTTCGCACCCCCTCCCTTTCCTCTTCCAGCAACATTTTTCAAACCTTTAGGCATGTGTGTGCACCACATATGGCAACATCCCATCATTTGTGTTCCTTCTGTCCTATGTGTTACTTAATATTTTCTTTAAATTGACTCATTTTTAAAATTTGCATGTACTTCACAATAAAAAGTTTTTATCCTTACTGTAAATGACAAAAGAATTATCTCCTATCATGAGAAGAAGGTGGTTGTAAAAATACATACAATTAGAAGAATGTTATTGAGTTCTGGGTAGCTTTTGTTGCCTGCCTGCACACGAAGTCAGAAAGACTGACTTTCTCACACTGTGACTTCACACTACTTAATGCTGCAAATATGAACTTCCTCAGTCATTTCCTGCACATCCAGTGGTATGTGTTCCACACTCAGGAAAACACTGTCCTGCACCACTTCTACTTCTCAATAGATCCCAGGGGCAAGCATCACTGATCTGCAACAGGTGGTCCTGGAGACTTAGAACTGGAAGAGGTATTGGAGTCTTCTAATCTTTTACCCTGGGTGGGAATTCTTTGCGTGTCATCCTTGACCAGTAGTTGAATTAACTGAGAAACAACTGTGTTATAGCAGCTAAGAACACATGCTCATAGTTACTATTGGATCATAATAAGATTATATAAGTGTTGGGAATTATTTGAAACAAAATATTCATGCACAGAAAGTGGCTCCAAAGGCAGCATCTTATAATGATTAAGGTCACAGCCTCTGCCATCAGACTGCCTGGGTTTGGCTCTGGACCTTCCTTATTCTTCCTCTGTGTGTCCTTGAACAATAGCAGTGACCCTGGTTAATTCTTCACTCCATATGTCATCTGCTAAAAGAAAGGCCCCAGGCCACCAGCTACGCATGCTGCCATCCTAAAATTTTCCATGCGATTTCAGGTTGTTAGGTTAAACGTTAATGTGTATCCATTTTTATTTCAGTAAACCAGGTGTTGCTCTTCCTTCTGATTGTGACCCTCTGTGTGATTCTGTATAAGAAAGTTCATAAGAGGACTGTGATCAAGAATGAAGCAGGTAAGCAGGCAGGGCCCACTGAGATTGGATGCCCAGGAACAAAGTTTGAACGTCTTCCCTTAGGTCCTTTCAGTAGCTGGGTTCATGGACAAGTGAGAATTTGGTCAGCTCCCAAAGACCTGCTGGCGGAATATCCACCTTAGGCCACCTTTTCAGTTGTGCTCTAGGGTGATAGGTGCCATTCTAGTATTATAGAATGATTGGTGCTATTCAAACTTTGTGATATGTAAGATTCACGTGGAGGGCTTGTTAAAACACAGCGCTGGCCCCGCCAAGAAATTTAGAATCAGCAGGTATGGGCTGGGCCCTGAGGATTTGCATTTCTGATAAACTGCTGATTGAGGGTGATGTGGTGGGTTCTTGGACCACACTTTGGGTGGACTGTTCTACATCCCATCCCTTTGGAGTCTCTCAATAATTTCGCTTATGAAAATCGCCTTCCCTCTCTTCTCCCTGCTGATTCATTCCTGTCAGTGCACAAACAGCCTCAGAATTCTCAACTTGAAAATGATCCATGGGGAGGAGGACCCCGTGTCCTCTTTCAGCTGTACTAGAGCTGGGGGTGAATTGCATGAGATGACACCTTCATGACCCCAAAACACACATGAAGTTAAGCCCCACAAAAATTAGGCAGCATTGTGTTTATTATTATATTTTTAATTGATTTCCTTTTTATATTAGTCAAGCAAATGTATTCATTTGCGGAAAGTACAGAAGAAAAAATATTACCTGTTGCTGTGTCAGCCAAAGACAAATATAGTTAGTATTTTGGTGTGTTACATACATTTATTCCACAATTTTTTTTGACGCCAGACATTTCAGAACTGGAAACACATTGAACAAAGCAATGTCCCTGTTCCTATGAAGCTGTTTTTTTTTTTAATTTAAAAAATTCATTTTAAAAAAGAATTAAAAACATGGATAAAGTTAAGCCCCACAAAAATTAGGCAGCATTGTGTTTATTATTATATTTTTAATTGATTTCACTTTTATATTAGTCAAGCAAATGTATTCATTTGTGGAAAGTACAGAAGAAAAAATATTACCTGTTGCTGTGTCAGCCAAAGACAAATACAGTTAGTATTTTGGTGTGTTACATACATTTATTCCACAATTTTTTTTGAGCCCAGACATTTCAGAACTGGAAACACATTGAACAAAGCAATGTCCCTGTTCCTATGAAGCTGTTTTTTTTTTTAATTTAAAAAATTCATTTTAAAAAAGAATTAAAAACATGGATAATCTGGTCTTAATGAACATTGAGAGCATCTGGAAAGAGAATGATTTTCACACAAAGACATACATACAGATGTTCATAGGGCATTACTCATAGTAGCCCCAAACTGGAAACAGTCCACATGTACATGAACCAGGGAACAGATAAATGAAATGTGGTATGCTCACTCAGTGGGGTGCTTCGCAACAGTGGAAAGGAACAAACTACTGACACAAGCTACAGCATGGATGAACCTCAAACACGTGACGCTAAATGAAAAGAAGCCAGACCCAAAAGACTACATATTGTACGATTCCATCTACACCAGACTTGTAGAAAAGGCAAATCTATGGAGGCAGAAAGCAGATCTGTGGTCTCCTGAGCTGTGGGTGAGAGTGGATCCACAGCAAACTAGCTTAAGGGAACTTTTTGGGGTGATGGAAATGTTCTAAAACGGGATTGTGGTGATGGCTATGCAAGTCTATAAATGGCTAAAAATCGTTAAACTGTACACTTGCAACGGGTAAATTTTAAGATATCTGTATTAGTTTGCTAGGGCTGCCGTAGGTGCTAAAAGAACAGAAACGTATTTTCTCGTATTTCTGGAGGCTGGCAGTCCAAGACCAAGGTGCGGGCAGGGTTGGTTTCTCCTGAGACCTCTCTCCTCGACCTGCAGCCGCCTTCTCACCACGTCCCTGCGTGGCCTTCCTCTGTGCGGCATCGCTCGTGTCTCTTCCTCTTCTTAGTAGGATACCAGCCCTCCTGGGTTAGGGTCTCACCAAATGGCCTCATTTTAACTTAATTGCCTCTTTGAAAACTCTGTCTCCAAACACAGTCAGATCCCGAGCTGCTGGGGGTCAAGACTTTAACATATGAATTTTGGGGGCAATAATCCAGTCCACAGCTGTATCTTGATTATCCCTCAATATACTGTTTTAAAAGAGAGCAAGAAGGGAAGTCACACAAGGTCAAATGTCATCTGAACTTCTGGCTCTATACTCCTCACACTTCACTCCCCGCCCATAAACCAACACATTGGTCAGCTAATCCCACTGCAGGCCCCTTTGTCCAGGGAAAGAAATGGGTACGTTTTATAACAGCTGTTAAAACAACTGCAACAAAATGCACATTATGACTGATTAATCAGCTATACACAGATAAACAAAGCATTAGCGCTGCACGAATGAATCCAATATCATCCCATTCGGTGTTAAAATAAAAAAGAATCAATGTTACAAAATACTATTCAAAAGAATGTAGTGTTGACATGGAAAGATGTCCGTGGTATGTTAAGCAGGAAAAGCAAGTTGCAGAAGAGTATGAAAAGTATTTTGGCTTTAAAGTAATATATGTATGTGGTGTGTATCCTTTAGTATTTACATGAAGAGTAATACAGATCTCCTTCTGGGATGGGAGTGAGAATTCTGCAGAAAACAGTTGCAATTTACCAGATACTCTTCTGTTTGGGCTGGCATTTTTTTTCAAGAAGTGCACATTAATATTGATAATTTAAAAAACGTTTATTGAAAGAACTAGCGTTAAAAGTTAATGTTCCAGAGGCCCTGTGAAGTCATATGCTGAAAAAAAAAAACATGGTGCCATTCTGTGTTACCTCCCGATAATGACATTCCATGTAATCTCCTGATAATTCCTTGTGATTGGTGTGCTGGTCACTCACTCCTGTCCCACTTGGGGTGAGGCAAATTTGATACGTTTGGCTAAAATAATCCTTATATGAAATGGGATTCTGAGTTTTGGCGTTGGAAGAGCAGACTTTTTACCTCTTCTAGGAATAGGCATGGTTTGATAAGAGCTGCTTGTGTTTTTAATCCATTCTGCCATCATTACGATGCTTTCTAATGCTGTTAGGCACCAGATGGCTTTCCCATAGCCAACCCTTTTAATGCATTGGCTCAGGAACCAGTTGGTAAAATGGATCCAAGCAGGACAGCAGACAGTTCTCAAAGGCACTGCCAGGTTGGAGCATAGATGAAGAATTTACGGTTGATGAGCCTTTCCATCACATTTCTCCAATGTGCCTTCATCCTTTATTCTGTCCAGGGGAAAGTTTTTGGCACAGCAGTATTTTTGGCTTAGGTTAGCTTCGAGCTTCTCTGACTGGTAGAGGCCCTTAAGAAGTGGGGCGTGTGTTGTGTCTGCAGCAGAGGTGTACACTCAAAGATGTTTGACCTTTTCTTGGGGTCTCCCCTCTTTCACCTTCCTGCTACCTCGTGCTGCCTGCTGTCTGCTAAAGGCCTCTGCCTGAGCCTGGAAGCCAGGCACCGCACCGGCTTTCCAACACTTCCCCCTGTCTTTGGCCCTAGGAAAAGCCCATGAACTGTTCCTCCAGGGCCCTATTCTCTAAGGCTAATCCATCAGTTCAGTTTAGTTCACTTCAGCAAACTTTCATTAAGCATTTTCAAGGTGCCAGACTCACTGGGCATAGTATAATGAGCTTACAGTCTAGTGAAGGAGGCAGACACATAAATAGATTCTTGCAGTGCATTGTGACAAGTGCTCAAATAGAGGTATCTAATAAACTCACCCATCCATCCAAATAGTATTGAGAATCTACCATGTGCCAGGCGCGAGGATGGCTGCAGAGGATACAGAGATGAACAAGAAACCACCCTTGCCCTTGCAGGGCTCCTAGTGTAATAGGAGAAAAAGAAAGACATGCAGCCAAATAAATTGCAGTGCAGCTGATAAATCCAGCCACAAGCAAGGACATAGCACAGACAAGGGGTATGCTAATTTGTGCAGGGAGCTCTTAAAGACTTTCCAAAGGATCTGATGTCTGTGCTGCAGTTGGCATGAATATGTAAGAGTCAGCCATGCACAAAGCGATGGAAAAAGCATTCCAGGCATTGGGAACAGCATGTGTAAAGGCACTGAGATAAGAGACAACGTGGTGGAACATTCAGGGGACCACGGGGAGTTTGGTATCGTTGGAGAAGAAGGAGACGAGGCTGGAGACGTGAGCAGGAGCTGGATCGTGAGGAGCCTGGGTGCCAGGTGAAGGAATGTGGCTTCACCTTTTAGGAACCACTGAAGGACTTTCAGGAATGAAGAAAAAGTCAAATTTGCATTTCAGGCAGATCACTTCACTGCCTGCAGGTAACATACCCCATGATCAGGGGACCTCCCCAAGATGAAAACTTAGTTAAAAAGGAACAATCTTTAAGAAACATTTTTCCTGGTTTGTTTATAAAAATAACTCATGGTTACTTTAGACTATTTGGAAAATATAAGAAACACTAATAAAATTAAAATCACATATAATTCCATAAATAGACATAGGTCCATTTGCAAGTATGTATGTATCAACTTGAGATCAAACACTAGAGGGGATTTTGTAATCTTCTCCCCCTTAACAGTATATTATGAGCATTTTCTCACGTCAGTGAATATATCATGAAAGCAAAATTATTCTGGTGGTGGAAATTTCAGATGCAATTGCATGCTGGTGGAAAAGATGTAGAGGGAGAAAGGGAAGGTCATTCGGTGTTTCTTAAATTACACAAAGCACAGTACCTGGTGGTTAGTTTCAATAAATGCTTGTTGAATTGAATATCAACTAGAACTACCTGGGGCTTGAGTGATAGAGGTTTTGCAAAAATGTATCTGGAAAGAGAGAGAAAGAGAGAGCTTTAAGTAAAAATCAGATGGGCATTTGATGGTGGATACCCTAAATGCTGATAATTATTATTCTTCATGAATGGAAGGTGTATTGTGGTACCAAAGTATGATGTTATGGCATTGGCGTTTTATATCATAGCCAATGCTCAGAAGAATAGTCAATTATTCTTCTTATGTATCAGTCATGCTCTTTCATTTACCTCCTTTCTCTTGCTGTCAGCATTTGGGAAACTTGACTAGAGGCTGGACAGGGGAAGGAAAACCCAAGTAGTATATCTTACAGCAGTGTGGGCAAGGTCAATATCCCAATTTAGGGAAGAGTTGAGGAATGTTGAACAAATGAGGCTTTTCAGTTCTTCATATGTTTTCCAACCATGTGTACGTTCAGCTATCCAACTGGCTTCTTTAAGACAGCTCCAAAATAATAGCGACTTAAACAATATAGAAGTTTATTTTCTCTTTTAAACGTCAGCCTAATGTATCAGTTCCACAATAATCCAGATCAAGATTCCTTCTATCTTATGGTTTTGGTGTCCTTGACAGGTAGCTGCCATCTTGTGATCTAAAATGGCTGCTCTGACTCCTGCCATCATATCAATGTTCCAGCCAATGGAAGGGGGAAAGGCAAAGGGGAGGGTAAGCATTCCTTTGAAGGGCAGACCCAGTAGTTGCACACATTAATTGAAGGTCAGGACTTGATCATACAGGGCTGAAAGGGAGTTTGGGTAAAATAGTCTTAGCGGTTGGCTACGTGCCCACTAAAATCCCAAAGTTCTTTTCTAAGGGAAGGAGAGACTGGATATTGGAGAACAAACAGCAGTCTCTTCCACACCACACTGTCTTCCCTCGGAGGGTGGAAGACTAGTTAATCTGGCTCTACTGTGAAATTCCTTCATGTTCCAAGATACTGATTTTGATGTTTCCAGATGTTGAATCCGAGACCCCTGAAGAGCTAGAAGAGGAGATTCCTGTGGTGATTTGTGCAGCAGCAGGGAGAATGGGCGCTGCCATGGCTGCCATCAATAGCATCTACAGCAACACTGACGCCAACATTTTGTTCTATGTAGTCGGTCTCCGGAACACTCTGTCTCGAATACGGTAAAATTTGTGCACTACGGACTTTGGAGCTTTTGACTTTCTTTTAATCTTCCTTATTTTTCTTTGAATGGATTCCCTTCCTTTTTGGAATGATGTCATTAGAATTAATGAGGGGATGTCCTGAGGTTTACTTGGTGACCTGACAATTGTGTCGCCTGGCTAAGGAAATTTCAGCAAAGCCTTATTAATCTGCAATGCATCATTCTGCAGAAGTGAACTGTCTAACAAACTAAAGAATCCCAATCCTTAAGCAGATTATGTGAAAGTATTTCTAAAATGGCCTCTCTTTTGTCTGCTTTCTTAACCTACGAGAATATTAACATAACATAACCATTTTCGTGTGGCCCTGAATCATAACTAATTATAATTTTTTAACTATAAACTTATATATTATAATATAGTTTTGAATTTATCTTTTCCTTATCATTATACTAAAAAATAAATTGGGGTTAGATTAAGAAGAAATAAACAGAAATCAAAATTTAAATGTATTATAAAAACGTAGGATAATTATATAATCTTGGTTGGAGAATGCCTCCCTGAACCCAGAAATTGTAAGGAAAACCTGACAGATTTGATTGCATAACACTTAAAAACTTTCAAATGATGAAGAATGCAATAAGTGAAATTAGTCACATAATAGATTAGCAGGAAATATTTTCAACATGTATTATAGATAAAGGATTACTATTCAAAATAAAGAATTGTTCCAAAAAATTTAAAATCACAATCATCTAGTAGAAAAATGGGCATAGAGTATGAATAGGCAATTCACAGAAGAAAAAACATACAAATGGCAAACAAACATGAAAAGATGTTCTATGTTACTAACAGGAAAATGTGAACTAAAACATATTTGCATTATTTAAAAATGCAAATCAAAACATATGTCACATTATAAGTGACATACAATTTTTCCCTCATCAGGTGAGCAAATATTAATGAGAACACTAGCCAGTGCAGGAAAACTGATATGATGCTGCTTTATAAGAAAGAAGGAACACTTTTTGTTCTTCCTGTTTCTGGGGGAAATTATTTGGATCCGGGGAGATATTTGGTTATTACTATTTCGCTTCATTTCCTTTGCAGAAAGAGTTATGTGATTAAGGGGGAGGAAAAAGGGAAAGATTTAAAGCCAGACCAGATGAGGAAAAAAAAAAATCAGAATCAGGGTTTATAGACTAAACTCTACTAAGTTTACACACATTTTATTTTTAACTTTCTAAGGAGGCAACAGATTCACTCTGAGGCAATAGGCAAATTGAGGAAAGATTTGAAGTGTGTGCTAGATGTTTTTTGTCATTTCTTTAGAAAATGGATTGAACATTCTAAACTGAGAGAAATAAACTTTAAAATCGTGGAATTCAACCCTACGGTCCTCAAGGGGAAGATCAGACCAGACGCCTCGAGGCCTGAATTGCTCCAGCCTGTGAGTGGGAATCGTGCATGTGTTGGGGACAGTCCTTGGGGAGACCTCCTTCCACATGGAGCACTAGCCACTGGGATGCAGCTGGAATATTTTTGAAGCCCTATGGTGTTAGATCTCCACCAAACTCTGCTTATTTATAATTGATAAGCCACTGCTCCAGAAAGAATTTAAGATGGTTTACATAAACGTAACTAAGCTATTAAAGAAGAAATGAAGCATAAAAAAACGTAGAACGCAGTTGTGTATGTGAATATGGTCTGCAGGGGTGGGAGCTGGAGGTGGGCCAGGTAGGGAGGCCAGGAAAAAATATCCCTAGCCCATAGGCTGTTGTGTGTACTGTGATTGTGCATTAAATCTAGCTCTGAGTGTCCCAGCAGCTAACAAAAAACAGCCACAGGATGGATTATACACTTCATAGCATTGACTAAGATAATAATTTTCAGGAGACACCGCCTTTTTTCCTGGCATTGGAAATCCTGAGGTGTTTTACTGCAAGAGTTCTTACAAAAGGAACCCTCTGCTGCACAGAGTGGTGCTTTTGCTGGCGGTTTTACAGAAACTGCAGCCACCTTCTACACAGGATTGTTACTTAAATCCATCCTTGAAAATTTACTAAATTCTGTAAGCCTTTTGTGTAGGATATGGTCTTTCTCCTCCATTGCAGGTATTGTCAGAGCGCAAGCTGAGTTGGGACTTCAGATTAAACAGTGTTGTTACTAATGAAACTTTAAAACTCATACCCACAGCTCATGCTTCTCTGACCTTTTTCTGGTTCAAAGAGCTAAAAGGTTGCTGTTGGAATGACACGTGTATGTGCGTGCATATGTGTGTGTGTGCATTTGTGCGCGCGTGTGTCTTTAAGGCTGATTTAGTTGACCGAATGTAGAGGAAGGCAGGCAATCTGAGCCCTAAAAGATTGTCTAGGAAGCCTCTGTGACTCCCACGGCAGCAGTTCACAGAGATGAAAGTGGCAACAGCCTCAGCAGCCAGGGATTTGGATCTAGGAGAACTGCCGATCTGCCAGCGCTGGTTTCAGCCCCAGGGCCCAGATAAGTTGGGTACGAGGAAGCTCAGGTGAGACATCTCTGTAGCCCCTGTTTTATTCTGTTCCAAACCTGGAGCTGGCCGGGCGCGGTGGCTCACGCCTGTAATCCTAGCACTCTGGGAGGCTGAGGCGGGAGGATTGCTTGAGCTCAGGAGTTCGAGACCAGCCTGAGCAAGAACGAGACCCCATCTCTACTAAAAATAGAAAAAATTAGCCGGGCATGGTGGCACATGCCTGTGGTCCAGCTACTTGGGAGGCTGAGGCAGGAGAATACTTGAGCCCAGCAGTTTGAGGTTGCTGTGAACTAGGCTGATGCCATGGCACTCCCCCGGGCAACAGAGTGAGACTCTGTCTCAAAAGAAAAGAAAAGAAAAGAAAAAGACAAAACGAACCTGGAGCTGAGCTGAGGCCATGGTCAAAGCCCACTTTCCAGTACCCCTAGAAGACATTGAGCCATACGCCTCTTCCCCACCTTCGTTTCTTTTGTTAACAGCTGAACTTTGTTCGATTTTATCTCCCTCTCCTTATCCACCAACACGAGAAAGTCATCTACTTGGACGATGATGTAATTGTACAAGGTACACTCGCTGACTGCCAAGAACACTTGGAAAAGGAGCAACTGATAAGTAGAATGACTTTCTTCATTTTCCATATAGCTAGATGCCTAGTGATTCTGACTGCTTATTAAAGTTGTGAGTATAGGATGGTTGTAAATTTGAAAATATTTTGAAAACAGGGGTTGATACTCCCCTGAACTATCCAGTTGACTCCCTGATTATCAAAGTCTGGAATAAATAGCTTGGTAGCCTTTCCTTCCTCTGCAGCCCTAAAATGTATGGAAATACAGTCTTACTGATGACACTCTTAGGAGTGAGCTGAGATTTGGTGTTTAGATGTTGTGTTCCCTCTCTTCCGCATACGAATAGGATAAGCATGGTGTGGCACCTACATAGCAACAGAAATAAACTGAACTAATCAAGTGGCTTTCTAAATTGGTACGAGCTATTCTTATTAAGTAAATTGCCAAGCCACTTGAAATTAGGGATCTGATACTCTTCTTCCATAGCAAAATCAGAAATTGCTGAAGCTCCTAAACACATGCTATAATATTTTAACCGCTGGCGTTTCTAAATGCAGGTGATATCCAAGAACTGTATGACACCACCTTGGCCCTGGGCCACGCGGCAGCTTTCTCGGATGACTGCGACTTGCCCTCCACTCAGGATATACACAGACTTGTGGGGCTGCAGGTGGGCACACTGTTTCGGAAATCCCACCCTTGCCCTGCTGTTCTGGGCCGTTCTCTTCCCCTGCAACTCCCACTGAGTGTAATCTCTACCTTCAAACCCTCACGGCCCGTCTGGGCTGCGGGAGGAACAGCACAGGTATCTGGGCTTTATTTCGCATCCCAGCTCCATTCCTTGTCAGCTCTGAGGCGAGTTACTTTAACCCCGCCAAGTCCCACTTTCCTTATCTGAAACATGGCAACGATAATGTCTACTTTGTTGTGTTTTGTGAGCTATAATGAATAACGTGATGTCAAAGTGTCCAGCTTGTAGCATTCATAAATGCTCCAGAAATGTAGTTGTTACCGAGGTTCCTCATAACCACACTCTATGTCAGAGACGGTGTTTTCTACAGAAGAGACTCCCTCAACTGTTTGGTTCTATTTCCAGAGTTTTGACCATTGTTTTTTTTTTCCCCCCTTTTCAATAGAGGAAAACATTGATTTTGTTTGAGGGTAAAGATCTCCTTACTCTTGTGGAAATGAGGAAAGTGGAACCTATATGTAATGCTGAAACCAAAAAGTAGCTTTGAAATGAGGTGCTAGTAAGAGTTGAGTCCTGTTCTTCAAAAGAAGTTCTAACAAATAATTTTAGATGTGCTACATTTAAAGCACTTTTAGGGCATAGCGTCTGGGGCCAGACTCGACTTTGCCAAAATCTTGGTGCTATTGCTTAGTAGATTTATGACCTTGGGCAAGTTACTTAGCCAGTTGTTTTTGCCACATTTGTCAAACAGAGGTAATAATAGTACTTCCTTTGTAGAGTTACTGTGAGAATCAAATCAGTTAATACATGTAAAGGTATTATATGCAATTAATGAGGTAATGTGTGTGAAGTTCTTAGAACAGACTGGCATGTAGAAAGTGCTCAAGTATTTCCATTACTCCTGTGTCCTATTTGAGAGCATCACGTTGAAGTAGATTATGACAGTCTATGTAGATGAAAGAATATGTCCTGCCTCATACTACGTTGATTCAACACCTGCTTATTGAGTGTTTACTGTGTGCCTGACACTGTTTTAGGTACTGATAATATAGTGAACAAAACTAAAATTCCACCCAATGGCTTCCCATCTCATTCAGAGTAAAAGCCAGAGTGCCTGAGATGGCCTACCAGGCCCTACACCACAGCACTCTAGCCCGGGGAACAGAGCAAACTCTGTCTCAAAAACAAAAAAAAAAAAAGAAGAAGGGACCAACAGGATTTGCTGACGGACGTGAATGAGGAGTGAGTGAGAAAGGGGTCGAGGATGACCTAATGACCCGGGTTTTCTGCCCGAGTAACCAGGATAAAGACGCCACTGGCTGAGGTGAGACAAGTTGTAGGGAAGCAGGTTTTGGACAGGATTGAGATCAATTTTTGGATGTAAGTTGGAGCTACCTTGCTAACTGTCCAAAAGGAGACATTTAGTTGGCAGGTATAGGAGTCAGAAGCCCGGAGGAGACGTCAGGGCTGCCAGACGGATGGTGTTTAGAGCCATGAGACTGGATGAGGCTGTCTATGGAGTTCTTGCTAGAGAAAGGAACAGGGGCTGGACTGAGACCTGGGGCATTCAGCATTTAGGTATCGGAGGAATGAGGGGAACCAGCAAAAAACCCAACCAAAACAAAACAAAACAAAACCACTAGGAAGTGGCCAGCGACACAGGAGGAAACCCAGAGAGACTGCACAAGGGCTTCAAGAAAATGATCATTTTTCAGAAAGAAAAGATTCATTGGCCAAATGCACGCATATCCTGTTCCCTTACAGAATACATACATGGGCTATCTGGACTACCGGAAGAAGACCATAAAAGACCTTGGCATCAGCCCCAGCACCTGCTCTTTCAATCCTGGTGTGATTGTTGCCAACATGACGGAATGGAAACACCAGCGCATCACCAAACAATTAGAAAAGTGGATGCAAAAAAATGTGGAGTATGTGTTGACCTCTCTACCATTATTCCCATGCTTGAGAACAAAATCATTCAATTAATTTTCTATGCATAGCTCAGGGGTTAGAAATACTTCAGTCCTATTAGGTCAGATTTTCTTAGAGGCACTGTTGAGAAAGAAAAGGGGGCAGCAGGTTAAAATCTTTCCTCAAATGGTACAAATCAGAGGAATCCAGACCCTGTGGAACAAGGAGTCCTTTATTAAACATTTTCCTAATCAGTCGTTTAATAACGTGACTTGAATCTTTTCCACTGAAAATCTTTATCTTTGTTGAGTTTCTCCTTCTTACATAAATTGCTTGTTAAGGATTATTTTATAAAGTCAACTTTGCTTTTTAAGGTTGATTTTTTTAATTTATAATTTTTCATCATTGAAGTTTAGAGAAAATAGAAGTAACTAACACAACCACTATGATCATTCCATTGTATTTCCTGTCAGTCTTTTTTATCTGGATATTTTGGTACCACTGTAATCTTGAATTTGTGAGTAGTTATTCTAAATAATGTAGGATTGGAATCTGATCTTCTATGTCTGCCATAAAAAAGACGGAGTTAAAATGGCAAAATATTAACACTGTGAATCTACTAGGCAATATATATGAGAGTTTGTGGTATTCTTACAATTTTGTGTAGGTTTAACAATTTTCAAAATAAAAAGTTGGGGGAAAATGAAAGGCTGTAAGTCTTATTATATAGTGAGAGAATGTCTTGCATCTTTTATAAGTATTATATTCTACTGTATCTGAGTGTGTGGCAGCTCCAGTCCAAATGTTGCTTTTCTATTTCATTTCTTAGGGAAAACCTCTATAGCAGCTCCCTGGGAGGAGGGGTGGCCACCTCCCCAATGCTGATTGTGTTTCATGGGAAATATTCCACAATCAACCCCCTGTGGCACATAAGGCACCTGGGTAAGTATTTTAGAAAAACAACACAAATGTATATTTTCTTATTTTTTTAAATTTCACCATATTACGGAGGTACAAATGTTTAGGTTACATATATTGCCTTTGCCCTGCCCGAGTCAGAGATTCAAGCGTGTCCATCCCCCAGACAGTGCACACTACACCCGCAAATGTATATTTTATAGACCCAGGGAGCACCATGGTTGAGAGTGCTATTGTGCCAGGTTCTTCAGTTTAGATCCTCCAGGTCCCCTTGGACAAATTGTTTAACCCTCAGTGCTCAGAGTCTGCAAATGGAGCTGATATTATTAGCTACTTGAGGAGTGTGTTTCCTGGAATTCATGAAAAGCTGTTGGACTAATGCTTAGCATATATTATGTGCTCAATAAACATTAACTCTTGTTAAGATGGATCTTTCACTGTCAAAACTTTTTCATATGCCTATATTGCCCTCTTGCAGTAGTCTGCAGTGGACAACACCAAATGAAGACGCATAATGGCTTATGACGAATTTAGATAGCTGGCACTGAAATGTATCTTTTAAAAGCAGCCATTTATTGAATGTGTACTATGTGTCCCTTAACAGTCTTTTATTCACTACGCAAGTGCAGGCTCTAGGGTATAGCTTGGAACCCCAACTCTGCTATTATATGATCTTTGGCAAGTTACTTGATGTCTCTGTGCCTTAGTGTCCTCATTTGTAGATTGAAGCTAACAGGCTCTTCTAAAGTTTTATAAGGAACAAATTACTGAATACATGTAAATT